CGCGCCCCCCCCGCCACTGGAGCTCCTCTGCACCCTGACAAGGCGGCCCTAACTCTAGGTCCTCTCCACCAGGGCGGTGCTCCAGGCCACTTGCAGGCAGACCCTGGAGGTCGCCAGGACCGCCCTCCTCTTCCTCAGCAGCAGCCTGGCCACCGAGTGGTAGGTGCCCTGCCGGCCGGCGGATGCCCCAGCCGTGCTGTCGCTCCTCTCTCCTGATACCTGGCCCTTCCCCAGCCCTACAGCCCCCACGGGGCTGTGCGTGCCGCCCTCCCTCCGTGCTGAGCTGCTGCCCAGAGCAGGACACAGGGAGGCAGCCGGGCCTCGCAGGGCCATGCACGCATGAGGTGGGGTGCAGGCGGCCTCCTCGGGGGCCTCCCGAGTCCTGGGAGCCCCGCGCCTTCCACTCTCCCGCCTTGGGCTACACAGGGGTGGCCTTGTGGAAAGGGAGTTGGGGAGCAGCTGGGGTCTGCAGAGAGAAGCGAGGGGAGACCCCGTGGCCAGGGCCCCACTGAGAGGCAGGCGGGCACAGCCCAGGAGCCCCGGCCACTGCAGCCTTACTCACTGAGGACTTGAGGGGCGAGGGCAAGACATGGCCAGCCGTGCCGCTGGAAGTGCTCCCCCATGCCGGAAGTGCCCCCCATGCCGGAAGTGCTCCCCCATGCCGGAAGTGCCCTCCCCCGCCTGGCACAGGTGTCCCAACAAAGCTGCCTGGCTCCCGGCAGCACAGCACTGACCTTGGGGCCAGAGAAACAGACTGGGGCACCGGGGGAGGAAGAGGAGCGACTCCTGGTGACAGGGGTGGGGCCCACATCATGGCTGAGTCCCTTCAGATGGTGGCAGAGAGGAGGGATCCATCCGCAGAATCCTGGTAGGTCTTCTCGGAGCACAGCTCCCTCTGGCACAGGAAGGGAGCAAGCAAAAGGTCCTGAGTTTGATACCGGGTACTGAAAGAAAAAAAGAAAAAAAAAATTAAATATACCTGTTAATGGTAGGAAGTTAGAAAGAACAGCTAAACAAAAATTAAGTAAAAATATTACCCACTACCTCCTAGGGACAGGTTCTTACACCTTGCTAGTATATACCCTTTGCTAGTACTTAGTTTCCTACTGTAGCGATATATACATTCTAGCCAACATGCGACTTTTCTGCATCTGCAGTTTTGTACTCTGCTATTCTTGGCAAATGAGCTTGCCCTTCTGTGACAGTCTCATCTGGCGCTCATCTCTCTTCCACCATGTTTCTAATTATCCCGTGAAGTTCCTTTGACCCATAGTTTTGTCCAAACCAGGACCCAATCCAAGGCCACATCTTGTACCTGGTTGCTATGTCCCTAAATCTGAATCCAGCAGACTCGCTTCTCCCACTTCCTGCTTTTCACATCTCTGCCTTAGTGGAGGGACCAAGGCCATTGTTCTGCTTGGGGACTTGTCTGGACCTTCCTCTTGGTGCTTTTTGGCTTGTTCCTCTTTCTTGGCATTTCCTGTAAGTCAGGAGCACTGCAGGCTACACTGTGTGTGCCAGGGTGCATCCTGGACTGTGCTAGGGACTTGGCAATGACACACCACTGGCTAGGGACAGCCTGACCCTTCCTCTGGGCAGATGTGTTTTTCCTGTGGGAGTTGCTCATTGTTTCACTAGGGCCAGCAGGGAGCTGATGCTCCAAGGCCTGACAGGTTATTGGCCAGTAGTCTATGAAAGACAGATTTCCTTCCTCAGTAAGCTCTTGGCTACCACAGAATGCAGTTTCTCCGGGAAAGGAGCTTCATTCTTTCCGTCCAGTTGCAAACATCCCTGGGCAGGGGTACATTTGCAGCTACCTTGCATCTCAGGCTCGTACATTTTCACAGATTCAAGGGGTTCGAATCCACCCCACCTTTTATTCAGCATCATAGCACTGGTGTGCAGGCCTCTTCTAGTTGGTTCCTCTGTCCCAAACATCAGAGACCTGAGAGCCAGCAAGGCTGTCCCGGAGATGCTCTGCCCAGCAGTGTCACAGAGCTCTCTGGCTTCTGCCTCAAATGCAGCCTTCTCCTTCCTTTCCTCAAGGTCCAACAGTGCAGGCAGGACTCCTGAGACACCGGAGGTCCAGGAACTGAAGAGGGCCACCGAGCTGAGGTCCAGACTGCAGAATGTGAGTGGGCTGGGTAGTCAGGGGTCAGTGGTCCAGCCCAGCTGCTGACAGGATCTCAGGTGATGGATATCTTCCTTTTCACCCCATAGCTGGCTGCGGTTCTCACCAGGTGTTCCCAAAACATTGCAGAGACCCAGGTGAGCCTGAGCCACCTGAGCTCAGAGCTGGCGAAGAACCGGGATCAGGTACATGAAGACAGAAGGTCCGTGGGAGTTTCCTAAATTGTGGGGTGGAGGTTGGGAATGCACAGCCCTACAGGTCCAGCAGCCTTTGTAGAAGTGCCCCCACTTCCTCCCTTCCCTTGACAAGGTGGTAGGGCAGGAATGAGCCAGACCCTCTCTGAAACCAGCCAGCGGGATAAAAGGGTCTGGGATCCCCTGTGTATCCGGGAACTTGAGGAGTTAGGAATCTTCTCAGGTGCCGTAGCTCTGAACAAAGAGTCCCTGGCTCTGCCAGGCTCTGGCCAGGTCCTCTCACTTGTGACAATAGTAATGTTGCAATAATGCCTGTAATGGAGAAAGATGCCCCTCCCTCTGTTAGGTTAATTTGTCCTGAGAGGTAGGAGGATCGCAAGTTCGAGGCCAGCCTGGGGACTTTGTGAGACCCTGACTCAAAATGAAAAGGTCTGAAGATGGAGCTCAGTGGGGGAGACCTGCCTGGCATATGTGAACCCCTGAGTTTAAACCCAGCACTGCAGAAACAAATCAGAGAAACAGGCCTGGGAAGGGTCCTTACTGGGGAAGGACAAGTACCAGGTGGGGCTGAGGTCACGTTGATCTACCTCCGAAGTTGTGTGCTTGGCTGCAGCCGGCAGGATTTACAGAGCTTTGAAAGCCCCATTGTCACTTTTCACAAACCTGAAAAGGCACCACCTCTGTGCCCTGGTGGGATGGGGTGTACCGGGGCCTAGATCTCCCTGCCCTGAGCCGGCCAGAGCAGGGTCCCCGCAGCAGTCAGGGCCCCTGTAGGTCTGTGATCTGAGTCCTCCATTCTAAATGCCACTCTCTGCAAGTGCCGTCGTGCCCAGCCCAGACACGAGGCCATGTGCCGTCTTCATTTACCCCTTAGGGAGAGTACACCGCGATTCTCAGAAGTAGTAAGGGTCTCAGATTAGGGGTGCTGCCCCTCAGGGGTGCACAACATGTTGTATGCACTGTTTCTGAGCCCTGAGGTGGGAGATGATTCGGAATTCAGGACGCACCCAGCCTGAGCCCCGGCCCCCACCCTGCCCCCACTCAGGGTAGGCCCTGGGGTGGCCAACGCCTGGGAACCCTTGTGCTCTGCCCAGGGCCTGGAGGTGGCTCCGGAAAAAGCGGAGATGGAGTCACCCTGAGGAGCCACGTGGGCCTGAGGGCGAGGAAGGGCACCCTAACCCCCCAGGGCTCTGTGTCAGCCAGAAGGGGAAGCAGGAGACAGTCCTGACCTTCAGCCAGGGACAGGAGTCCCTGAGCGGCTCCTCTCAACTCCCTGCTGCTGGGCAGGGCCCGGGCGAGCATCACCGATTGTGTTGTTCTGCAGGAGGATGGTGTTGGGTCCTTTTCCTAAGTTCCCGCGGTGTGCCAGGTTTTGGGGAGCCCTAGCAGGGAGACCCTCTGGCCTGGCTGGTGACCGGGGAGATTCCTGCTCCCCTGTATCCTGTGCCTGGCAGGCGCCCTCGGGTGCGGGCCCCCACTCTCCTGGGGCAGCGCTGCTCGGCTTCCTCTCTGCTTCCTCTCCCTAACTCTGCGGGCTCAGGCTTTCGAGTGGGGAGGACCCGCAGGAGAACGAGAGAGGGTTTGCTCTGCAGTGACTTAAACAAACTCAGGCCGGCAAGGCCCCCACTGCCGCCGCCCTGTCCCCTTCCTCACCCTCCACCCTGTGCTGTGTGATTCTTCCCGCCTCTTCCACAGCACCCAGCAAATTCAGAGCTGCTTGGACAAGATGTACCTCATCTACAAACAGTTCAAGAAATCTAGGATGAGGCCAGGTGAGCCCTCTTCCACCCCCTGTTATCTGTGGGTGCTCCCTCCGGGGTTCTGGGGGTCTGGTGCAGCTGGTCTAAGGCCACGTCCCCATGGTCACACTACCTGCAGGCCGGTGAGTGACGAAAAGCTTACACCCTGCTCGGTATCTTGTGAGAGCCTAGACGACACGGCGGGGAGCAGTGAGCAGAGCCTGTGTGCTACAGAAGCAGAGGCCCTGGCCAGCTACTCCAGAGGTGCAGAGGCAGGAGGATCGAAAGTTCGAGGCCAGCCTGGGGGACTTAACGAGACCCTGTCTCAAAATAAAACAAAAAGGCTGAGGATGCAGTGCTTGCCTGGCATATGGGAACCCCTGTTTAATCCCAGCACTGCAGAAACACAAGAGAAATAGTTCTGGAGAGGGACTCTTCCTGTGGCAGGGACTTGGTAGTTTATGGAGTGTTTTCCTATCTACTGTGTCTTTGGGGCACTGAGGCAGCCAGGTTTTCCAGAAAGGAGGGACCAAAAATTTCCACAAGAGCCCCTGGCCACACATCTGCCCATTGTCTGCTGGTCTCACAAAGACCTCTGGGCAGGGTGCCACTCAGGCTCCGGGATTCGAGCCTGCTTGCCAAGTCATGAGGACTCATGACTGTCGTGAGGACAGGACGAGGGGTGCATCCAGGGAGGGCTGGTGTCGGACATAAAGGACCCTGGGGGCCTAACGAGAGATGACCGCTCTCTCCTTCCCATGTCCTGGGCATTTGCTTGTCTGCAGACCAAAGGCCTTGACTCCAATTGCTTAATGTTCTCCTGTCCCTGGGATCATCCAAACCGTGCTGCCAGTACAAATATAATACCAGCCACAAATATGAAGTTAAGTTTTTCATAGCCAATTATTTTCCACTTTGTTTTGTTTTAGTTTTTTGAGACAGGGTCTTACTATGTTGTTCAGGCTCTGAACTCACTGTGTAGCCCAGGCTGGCCTCAAACTTGCTGCAATCCTCCTGCCTCAGCTTCCCAAGTGCTGGGATTACAGGGGTGCACTACCACAGCCAGCTTCTCGTAGCCAAATTAGAAGGAAACAGGTGAAATGAATTTTAATATATTTAATATATCCCACGTGTGTTTTCAGCATGTAATGTAAACAAGGTTACTGAAGAGGTATTTTCTGTTCCTTTTCCATTTTATTTATTTATTTCTGTGTGTGGTACTGTGGATGGAACGCGGGACCTTGTGCTTGCGACGCAGGCAGCAGCACCACTGAGCTAAATCCCTGACCCTGTATATTCCTTTTTTAGACTTCGACTCTACTGCATCTTCAAGATCTCATGTGCAATTCACATTTAGAGTACATCTCTATTTGAAAGCTGAATGGTCAACAAAGTAAAATGTAGTCTTAACAAAACCATCAAGCTACCTTTAATGGGAAAGATACGTTGTGCTGCGTTAGTTTTAACATTTAAATTAACTCGTAAAAATTCACGTCCTCAGCCGCGCAGCTGTGTCAGGGGCCCCGTAGCCATGGGTGTCTGGGCCCACCGTGGGGGACATACGGGTCGGCCGAGAACAGCCTCCCTCAAGGCCCCAGTGCTCCCTCACGGCCTGGCCTCTACAGGCGACAAGGGACAGGGCCAGGCTTCCTGTCTCAGGAAGCCAGCGGGGCCTCGGGCCACACCCACCTCCGTGCTGACCGCTGACCTCAGAGGCCAGGAGCCCACAGCTCTGTCACTCACGACTTAGCCCTCTGGGGCATGGCCCCATCCCCGGGGCTGTGTGTGCTCTCACGCTATGTAGGGCTCCTGGGAACTGAGGACAGCGGAGCCTCCACATTTAATAGATGAGGAAAGGAGACATGGAGAGGCTAAGTAACCTGACCCGTAAAGGCCCAATTGCTTTGAACCACCAGGACTTTTACTTCTAATGGCTTTTCAGAGTTTTCTATTAAAATTTGACGCAAACCCTTACGTGGTTATGCCTGGAATGTTGAAAGATACCCACTGGGTGTGTTGTGCACCCCCCATCCCAGCTTCTGGGGAGGCCAAGGCGGAGGGGCTCAAGATCAAGGCCACCTGAGGCAAACTCAGCAAGATCCTGTCTTAAAGTAAAAATTTGACAGAAGGCTGGGGATGCAGCTCAGTGAAACACCCTGGGTAGAACGAGCCACTGGAAAATGCTCAGTGGTTTTTCTGAGCAGCCTCTTCCATGATCTGAGCAGGATTCGTGGGCTCCGAGAGGCCAGATCACTAGCTAATAGCAGGCAGGGCGGGGGCTCGTTCGCAAGTGCTGTCCACTGCGGTGGGCCCAGGAGGTGTCCTGCTGTTGAGGGAGCAGAAGGGGAGGACTCATCTAGACACCTCAACTTGCCGCTGCACCACTAGGGAGGGCCGTTCCCTTGAAAACCAGCAGGGGGCAGCACCTCCAGGCTCTGGAACATTAGGGCCCTTCAGGAGGCCACCCACAGCGGCCAGGTGCAAAACTGCAGCTGTCTGGCAAAGTTGCCCCTTCTGGCAGAGCAGCTGGGCACAGAGGGGGAGTCCGGACGGTGGCCCGGCTCCTCCGGCTCATTGCCACAGGGCCCTCTGGTTGTGTGGACTCTGCAGCAGTGGGGCCAGCTGGCTGCAGACACTGGCCACCTGTGAGTGCTGGGCAAGGGACCGAAAGTGACCACGCATCCGTGGGGCCTACTCATCCCCCCTCCCACCTGCAGCTTCCCCTGCTCCCACCCACATGCAGGTCGCCTTCCCCGCAGCCTCTGCTCCTGCCCTTCCTGGCTCCCTGGGCTTTGAGCTCCCATGAAGCTGGGCCCGGGCTGAGCTGCCTGTGTCCGTGTGAATGTCCCTGCCCTGCGGCACCCAGTGGTGGATGGAGTCAGTAGGTGACATAATTCCCGACTTTCCTTCAGGGCTCGGCTACAATGAGGAGCAGATTCACAAGCTGGATAAGTGAGTAGGGTCCACTGGCGGGAGGGTGGGGCCACGGAAGGGGGTAGCCGGTCCCAGGCTGTGGCTGGGCAGTGGGCTGGGGGCTGTGTCTGGGTGGACGGAAGGGCAGGAAGCGGCACAGCTGGGTCAGAAGGAGGCTTCGCTGGTCTCCACCCCTCTAATCCGGCACACAGGTGCATTGCATTCACGTGCTTCTGCAGCTGTGCGTCTGCTCCCTCAGGGACCCAGCCTAGGTCATGTGCACCCTCCAGGGCCCTCTGTCCCCCTTCCTTGTCCCCTTGTCCGTGCATCTGCTTCACTGCCCTCTGGCCTTCCGGCTCCCAGTGCGTGACTCCGTCTCCTCCCTCTTCGGAGACCGTCCGTGTGCCGGACCCAGGTGTGGGGCACTTGTGCTGCACCAGGTGGTGGTGGAGCCAGAGAGATGCTGAGTTAGTGCGCGGCCGGCTGTGGCCTTTCATCTCTGGGCCTTGCTTCTCCGTCCCTCCAGGGTGAATTTCAGCCATTTAGCCAAGAGGCTCCTGCAGGTGTTCCAGGAGTGTGTGCAGAAGTATCAGGCGTCCCTGGTCATGCACAGCAGGTGGATGAGGTAATGGTCTGGCCCTTGGTCCCTTGGTCGTGGGCCCCAGGGCCTGGCCCAGCCCTTCCAGGCTGCAGAGGACCCAGAGAGAGAGAGATCAGCACAGGAGGAAGAGGGCAGAAGTGTGGTGTGTGGTGTGTGGTCTGTGGCCCTGGTACCAGGCTTGTTCAGTCCACAGTGCCGTTTTGTGCAGCAGATGGCGCCACCCCATTTGGCAGCCAAGGGAACTGAGGCTTGGGTTGCCTGCCTCTTATCACAGTCACATAGCCCAGCCAGTAATCCGCAGAACTCTGGATTCTTCCCACCACCCAGCGGGCAGTGGTGGAAACATCTTGCTGAGGAGACCACCCCCCTGAGTGCAGGACAAACAGCTTCCGGCTTCCGAGTGGGGCAGAGCGGGGGCAGGTGGTGCCTCTAGCAGACCTCCCACACCCGAACCTCCGGGAGTTTGGGGGCTCCTTCTTGGGCAGCGTCTGTGTCCCCTCCTCCGGGCGCCGTGTGACCTGTGGGCCTGTGACTGCCCAGCCTCACTGTACAGCCCCCGTGCCTGGCTCCCTGTCCCCAGCACAGCCCAAAGTTGAAGTAGGGCTTGGATATCAGTACGTTAGAAGCGCCTGGAGGAGTCGGGTTGACAGGCAAGCACGGTTTGATGGCTTGGTTTCATCTCTGTGCTGAGCACAAATATCCCTGTTCGTATCCGGCCTGGGTGACAAGTGTCCCTCTGCGTGTGGGGCAGGGACAGCGAGGGAGGCAAGTGCCTGGGGTCCATGGTTGCCTGATGACCACCAAGGGCCCTGGGAGCAGAGAGCCAAGTCCTGCTCCGAACCTGACCCCACCTGCTTCTCCAGAGAGGTGCAGAAGACCCGGAACCGGCTGCGCCTGGTCGGCTGGTCTGTGACCACCTGCAGCACAGAAGCACAGGGAGCCCAGGAGACCCTGAGTGAGGTGCGACCCTGCGGGGCTGGGGCTGTGGAGGAGAGGCCTGGATGCCCGGCATGGGGTGGGGGTGGACAGAGCTGCCCTGGCCAAGCCCAAGTCTGTCCATGAGGGTCAGTCGGCCTTAGATGGGGAACGTGTTTCCCAGTAATCTCAGACTGACACAGCCACCGCAAGGGCAGAGGCGCTGGGGCACTGGTCACAGGCCTCCTGCCTCGGTGCTCCCTGCTGCCAGAGAGGGCCGGGCCCTTTCTCACGGCTGTGGCTTAGCCTGGGTCACGAGGGGTTGGGGTGGGACACAGAGGTGACTGGGCAGCCTGGGCCTCCGTCCCACTCCAGGGGTGCAGGCTGGGGTGGTTCTGTCCCGCTCTTGCTCAGTGCGGCCCACCCAGCCGTGCACAGTCTGGCACATCCCTGACGGGCGCATGGCGTCCCTTCAGATCCTTCAGCAGCTCCTCCAGGACAGGACGAAGGGGGCCGAGGCGGCACCTCCGGCTCTGGCTCCTCATCCCGGGACTGCTCCCAAGGACCTGGTGGTGCAGTAAGGGGCCCAGGGGGCAAGCGTGCCAGCTGTGTGTGCGCGGTGTGCGTGCACGCGTGTGTGTGTCTGTGTATGCGTGTGTGTTGGGAGCGGGGAGGGTGCTGAGTGGAAGTTGTTTGGCCTGGATACTGCCGGAGGGGCTGTACTCAGCGGACTCTCGGCCTCTGCCCTGACAGCGTGCGAGAGCTCTTCGAGGAGGTGAAGCAGCTGGCCTTTGATCTCCAGGACAACAACCGCGTCATTGAGCGGTGAGGAGGCCACTGTGCTGGAGGGTTGGGGCCTCCAGCCAAGGCCTCGGGGTGCAGGCCTTGTCCACGAGTGAGGCTCATGCAGAGGAGCTGTGGGTTTCACTTGTCCTCTGTTCCTTCATTGATTCCTGGGCACTGGGGACGGAACCCAGAGCCTTCACACAGCTACATCTCCAGGCCTTTTCAATTGCGTGCTTTGAGACAGAGTCTCACTAAGTTGCCCCCCTGGGCTCTAACTCGCCACCCTCCTGCCCCAGGGGGGCTCACGCACCAGGTGTTTAGGTAGTCTCTGAAATGCGACCCGCAGTGCTGTCAGAGCCAGCGGAGACGGAGGTGGATTTGCATCTGGGGTTTGGGCCCAGCCCCTGGTGGATGCTGCGCCTCAGCTCCCTGTCACCCCCAGGCCCTGCTCCTGCACACCGCCCTGCAGACGCAGCCCCCTGCCCCTCACAGCATCCGGTGGTGAGGGAAGCTGGCCGTCTCTTGAGCAGGTCCCCTCCGGGTGGATGGGAGTGCACAGCACGCAAAGGCTTTCGGGCTCTGTGCCCTGTAAGTCACAGGAGAAATCTGGCCAGTGCCCTGTAGCCAGGTGGGCGTGTCTGACAGGGTGGAAGGCTGCAGAAAGCACACAGACACCAGAGATAACCAACCCACTCACACACCCGGGCCAAGCGGCCGTGGCTTCCCTCATCCTGTCTGCCCGGTCCCACATGCGGAAGAGGGGCCCGGTGGGAAGAGGGAACAGAGGTCCCAATAGGACCTGGGTCCTGACTGTTCCTTACCCATGCTCAACTCTGGGAGACATGGTTGGTTCGGAACTGCTACTTTGTGCTGCTAAGGACCCTTCCTCCACAGCCTCCTACAGTGCTGAGCCACTGCAGTGCTGGCTCCACCTTCTTACATAACCACAATAGGAGATTCTAAAGCTTCTTGGAAAGACTTTCCAAGACAACCCTCTGGTCAGGAAGTTCCAATTTTAGTGCTGACATAAATTTTTCTTGCTATGATATATAGTCCCCTTGCAAATTTTATTTTAGTGAGTTTTCACTTCCTCATTCTGATCTGCAGCCACAGAGCCAAAAGAATCGATTTGACCCCCTCCTCCTAAACTCTGCTGCTTCTGAAAGCATGCGTGCCGGGGCCTTGCTCTTGAGCCTCTGGGGCTGGGGGTTTCAAAAGCTCCCAGGGTGATGCTAACACACAGTTTGAGTGGAGAAGCAGAGGGGAGCCAGGAGCCCTGTGGCTGGGTGCTCAGGACGTGGACGCTGCTGGGCCTGGGCTGTGGTGTGCAGGCTCTGTCACGGAGGGGCGGAGCTCACTGGTGCTTCTCCATACAGGTTGAGTGCAGCCCCATCCGCTCCTGACATCTGAGCTCCGAGGATGCACAGCTGTCTGGAAGCATTAGAAGCACTGCACACTGCTCTCCTGCACTGGGACAAAACCCAGGGTGAGACCTGGTCCCGTCTCATCAGCCCACTACCTCCAGCCTGGCACAGCCAGGAGATGTCCCCGGCATTACCGGGCGCTGACTGGGCCTTGGCATCGCTGTCAGGACCCACAACGGACCGGGGCAGCCGCTGCTGGCCTGGCCTTTGTGCCTCATCTGTACCTGGCCTTATGGATCTGCAGGGACGGCCCTGGCTTCCCTGGAGCCCTGGGTCTTCCTTCCTTAGTGTTTTGTGGCGAAACGTCTTCCTCTCCTGTGCTTCCTGAGGGTCACCGCGCTCAGCCGCAGGTGACAGATGGCCTCGATGCCCTGCTCTTGGTCTGACCAGCCCCAGGCTGAGGTGGGTGGAGGAGATGCAGCCCTCCGGGACGCTCCCTCACCCTCGCTCTCGGGGGTACCACACGGCCCTGAGACGCAGCTGCTGGGCGTCCACAGGCAGCTGTGCCAACAAGCATGGCCTGGAAGGCCGAGCCCCGAGCAGAGAACAGGCGCAGCTCCCGGGGTGAAATAAACGCTGCTGCTGGGTCTGCTCGCTGTGGCGCTTGCTGGGCTGTGTCTGAGAGGCTGGGGAGTCCAGGGCTGGGTGCGCAGGCTGAGGAGGAGATGTGGGGGAAGTGGGGCCAGGCTCCGCCTTTCCCCTTAATGGGCCCCAATTTCAGGAAAGAGCCCAAGGCTGGGCCTCTTGCTGAGTGGGGGCGCCTTGCCCTCTGTGCTCCTGCTCCCTGTTCTCTGGGGAGCTGCGTATGGAGAAAGTTCAGTCTTTTTTTCTTTAACCCCCCAAAGCACTGTCTAAGTACCTGCGGCTTGTGCCCATCCCCACCACCGTTTACAAACGAGACTGAACTAAATATTTGAGGACTGCTATGGGTCATTTTAAGCCTTCCCTCATTTTGTCTAAAAGCTAGAGTGCTGCCTGGGTAAGGCACTTTGATTTACACAAGATGCTGGTAGATATAGTACCCGCCCGCACTTATCAAGAGCTGAACACCCGCCTGGCCTGGCCACTGCTGGAAGGCAGCCCGGGAGGAGAGGGAGAGGGGTGGAAGCCCCACCGTGTGCTCTGGGGCCTGTAAACAGCACTGTGCTTGACCCCAGATAGCCCTGATGCCCTTCCTGCCCACCTGTAGCCTTCTTGTCCTGAGCTACGTCCCCATGACTTGGCAGAGTGGGGAGGCTGAGTCCTGGGGGCTGGCGTTCTCACGGCCAAGACTCCAACTCTGCTTCTCCACGGAAGGACCAGCAGGCTCCGAACCCCGGCAGAGCTCCTGGAGGCTGCTTGTGAATCGGCTCTAAGACTTTCCTGTTTGTTCTCTGGACCTCAGTCCCAGCAGGTCACTAAAGCCCTGGGTTCAAGTTCTGGGATCTCAGGGGCCCTGGGCACTGGGTAAGCCCTCTGCTCTGTTGGGGTGAAGTGAGGCTGACTCTGTGGCTCATCAATGGCCCAGCAGGAAAATCCCACAGTGGGTTTTCCCTGGCGGCTGTGGTAGCTCTGGACCCCCTGTGTTTGGTGGGGCTCTGAAAGAGCCAGGGTGTTCCTGAGAGCCAAACACAGATGTCTGGGAAGTGAGCCAGGGTCTGACCTCATAAGCGAAGCCCATGGGATGCGGAGGACATACTCCAAGGCTCAGCCGGCTCCACCCATCTGAACCTCAGGGAGCTTCCAGTTTCGTCTCAGAAGGGAATGAGGAAGTGTACCAAGGTCCAGGACCAAAAACACCGTCCTCAGGTGTCCACGGGCCCCTCGAGGGCTCTGTTCCCTGGAGCGATTGCTGAAGAGCCCGTTCAGTTCATCTTGGGACCTGAGCACTGCAGTGGCCAGGCCCGGGGCCAGGAGCTGAGCTGTAGAGCGACAGGGACACCAGGAAGAAAGGCGTGCCAGGAACTCCAGCCCCACCCGGCAGGTGCTATGACAGGGACGATCATTCCCCGCGCTGTATGCAGGCACCATCAGGGCAGGGTGCCTCGGTCAGACCCGGAGTGGAATCTTGGCCACTGAGCCACGGATGAGTTGCCGAGAAGGCATGGAAGGCACCTGCAGGGGGGACAGCAGGGCCCAGGAGTGGGAGGGACTAAGCATTTCTGCATTCCAGGGGAGTGAAGTAGAGAATCCGTGTTGCAGAAAGGGAGGAGCTGCCCCCAAAGGTTAGAGCCACTAAGCGTGGGAACCCAGGGCAGTTTCAGGTCAAGTCCGGTATTCACAGGTAGCCTCTCCGGTGCCTCGCGGAGGGCGGAACGTCGTGGGTGGAGCAGCTGCTTCCCTACGTGCCAAATCATGGTGCTGGTTCTCAGCACAGCCTCTCCCTGCCTGCCTCTTGCCTCGGAAGCCCCCCCTGCGGGGTGACAGACGAGTGTGCCGGTCTCAGCTCAGAGAGGGGCTCAGGTCTGTGGTGTTCAGGGTCGTGGCCGGCATCCTCAGCCAAGATATGTCCAAGTGAAAAAGGGCTCTGCCCCACGGCTACAGGGCGTCCCTGCTGGAAGTGCAGCAGGTGTTTCTCCCCGTGCCCTGGTGCTACCAGGCTGGAGCTCTGTTTCCCTCTCAGAACCCAGAGCTGCTGCGTGTAGACTGGTGCCCTGATTCAGAACACAGACTCCAGGGCCCTGCCCAGCTCCTGAACCCAGTCAGTGAGGGTGTGGCCCGGGAATCTGCATGCAAGGTGCTGCCCTGACAACTATCACAAGCTCATGTTTGAGGGCACCGAGGCAGTCTGCAGAGGGCACCGGACACGCCAGCCGCCAGGCCTCCTGGCAGCCGAGGTGGGAAGCCATTCTGAGGAGAAGATGGGTTTCCTTCGGGAAAGAGTTTCGGCCTCCTGGAGCTGCTCCGGTCCTTCCCTGCACCCCTCACCAGAGAGCAGGAGGGAGGGGAGGAAACAGAGAGGGAGAGTCGGAGGGCAGGGAGGAGGAAATGGGAGCAGCAGGAAGGAGGGGAAGGGAGAGAGAAAGCGGGGGAGCAGGAGAGCGAGGAG